TCTTGGCAATGTTCATCACACTTCTACTTATTGTTGAGTCTTCTTTAAATCTACAATTTACAGTACTATATGTTCCAGAAATATGCTAAGTATACTATATGTAAAAAAAAAAATTACCATTTTTTGGAAAAAATTAATAATAACATCAAGTGGAAGATACTTTTTAAAAAAATGATATATAAAAAAACCTCAATGTTATTTCTCAAAAAATGTAGAGAAATAGGACTTGGATACACTGAGAATTCAAATGAGTTTTTGAGATCCCTTATGTAGCAGCTGTTTTTGTGAATTAAAAGGACTTGTTGATATTTTGACTCATTAGAGATGGCAGTCTTACTATTCTATTAATATTTGCTAAGTTCGTCTGCAAGAAAAGATGAAGTGTTAATCTTTTCCAAAAGAGATAATCTTATTGCACATTAGTCAATTATTGCTTTTTTTGTTTTAGCATATAAAGATACTGGCAACTGAAATGAATTCATGGGGCCATATTAAATTAGTATAACTAATCATGATTACTAGAAATACTGTAGCCCTCATTTACTGATTGCTCTGTTTACAATTTGAAGTTACAACGGTTTAAAAAAAGGTTTTTGTAATCAATACTAACATTTATAGCTGTTGCATTGTTCTCTTGGTCACATGATCAATGTTTGGGCATTTTGTAACCAGTGGGCATTTATGACCATGCAGTGACCTGTAGTCACATGATCACTACTTGTATGCTTCCAACAAGCAGAATCAATGGAAAAGCCAGCAGTAAAGTCACAAGTTGCAATGACATGATGTCTCGTTTAACGATTGGGGTAACTTGCTTGATGATGGAAGCGGAAGTGAAAGTCACCCAGCAGCCCTGCTCAAAGTGACCAGTTTCCTCCTGGGGAGGGATGAGACTGAGATATTTCTTCAGGAAAAATATTACATTTTTCGAAGAATTTCCAGTGCATCTATTGGATAAAGTTGCTTGGATTCACTCGAAGCTTGACTCAGACCCTGACGCAGATCCTCATGGAAATGATTGAAGCTCAATCTGATCTGGTTATCTGGGATGAGTTTGATCCTGTTCGTCCTGAAGGATAAGGTTCTAGGAAGTATTATCTTAGTCATCTGTGCACTAGACAAATGTCTATCATGGTTACCTTGAGAGACTGCATGAGGTTGGTTCCTGGCAAAGGGGAATTCATTGTTGAGAAAGGGGTTTGTTCTATTTCTGCTTAACGATTTGATGGTTTTATCCCCTCTTCAAGAACCCGTCACTGGATGCAACCATTTTGGATAACTTTTAATACAAGGTTGTAGAGAAGGTGATCATGCCTATAGAGCAGGGATGTCAAACTCGTGTCGTCATGGACTAGTCACATGATGTATCATGACTTTTCCCCCTTCGCTAAACTGGGCATGGGCATGATGCATCTGGCTGTGGGCCGCAAGTTTTACACCCCTGCTCTAGAGAGTAAGGAAGATTATTTTGATAAAGATACGCAGGTTCCATTCCCTAGGTAAAAAGGATAATGCATTTTTTAAACTCCAGAAGTACAAAATAACATCCAGAAGCGAGTCAGGCAGATGTCTCCCAAATTCCCTAATAAGAAGGAGAAGGGGATACAGTAAAATCGGACTTTGAAGATTTTGATGTTATTATAGCCAATCTCAGTAAGAATATTACAGCTTTCTGGAACACCCCTTCCCCATGATTAGTTTGGTTTATTCTTGGTGAACACTGTTGTTTTTTCAATGTTTTCCTTTTTTGTTTTTAGTGTGTTATGAGCTGCCCAGAGATGGACAACCTTATAAAAATCAATTTAATGAATAAAAACCCTTCTGCCTTAAATTTAAAAGTGCATTTATTGGACCACCAGTAATGAAATCCTGAAAAGCATTGCAAATAACATTTGTCCAAAATTGAATTTTTAATCACCATTAAAATATATAAAATATAAATAAAAATTGAGTGTGAAAAAATATTAATCCAATAATTTAGCCTCTTTTGACTACTAACAGTGCCAGGCCATGTATGTGTTTTCAGAAATCAGTCCACTTATTATATCAACTTAAATGTGTATAAGACTAAAATTTAATACTTTATATTGTATTACAGCACAGCTGTCAATTTTTTCAGAGCCAAAATCTGGCCTGGCCAAGACAAAGCATTGCTGTTGGTGGTGTGGATCTGGTTTTAAATGGTCTTAATACTTAGAATGTGAAGTGTTCAGAACAGGAGCCAGTGCGTTTTTGATCATGTTACTCTATAAAACATCATGCACATTAAGTCTTAGCTGGCAATCCTGATGTCCTTTTTTTGTTGCAAAAAAACCCCCCCAAACAAACTCACAAGCCTTTGGATAAGTGACACTCTTAAACTTTAACAATGGTTGGGCATAGTAGACCAGCTCTCTGGGGCACAAATGTAGACTGAATGCCTGAACCAATCAGTGTAACTCAGCTTTCTTATCATTGCTAGTGGCCCTAAACTAGTAATCCTATATCGTCTGAAATTTGAAGACAGATGATTTGAGGCATGTTGAATGTTCTTCTCTGACTGAGTTGTCTGCATTGGCCAGCTGCCCTGATAACATAAGGAGCAGAAAAACAAGCTCAGATCTCAGGAGTTGCTGCTTGCTGTTTTAAAGTTATTGCCTCCCTTCCAGCAGCAATTTGGTTCAGTATTTAGTATTACAATCATGAAAATATACATTAAGTGGTACTTTCCTGAAATGCAATCTAAAAGAGATCTCTAATTTTACCTCAAAAAAAAAATATAATTGCTAGGAAAATTGAAGAGGAACTCTTTTGCTACAATTTATGCTACGCTCACCCACCCACCCACCACACAAAGTCCTAATAACTGAATAGCTTCCAAAAGCAACACGATTGTGTTTTCCCAATGATTGAAAAAGGAAACTGAAAAGAAAAGAAAAATTAATCCCCTCATCCCATTCTTGCAGTTAATTTGCCCTTTCAATAACAGAGAACTTTTGAGTAACCTATTTCCCTTCTTTACAGGAAATGCCTTAAGGTAAGGAATTTGATTTTTTCCCTTTTAACTTCCTTAGTTTGTATAAAATGATTATGAACTTTACAGTGAGACTGCTGTTGCTTAATGAGCAAATTGTTTGCATCAGTCCTTGCGTTTCTGCTGCTTGTCTCCATGCCAGAAAGCCACGGTGATGAGATGAAGGAATTCTGTTGGGTTCTGTTACTATGAACAATATTTCCCCTGGCAATATGGACTCCAGTGTGTATTAAATGTTGGGATACTGCATAGCGGTGGTTGCTTGATGTCATTGGAAAAGGGAGCACTACATAATTATTTTTTCATAATAAGCATCCACTCCATGAAGTTGCAAATGGCTCCAAGTTAAATAAAGTCCAATTCCCTGAAGTCTGCCACACTCTGCTATGCTGAAATGTTATTTCTGCTATATTCAAAAGGATGTTAAAACTTTAACTATTTTTAATGTACAACTAGCCTGGAGGTTGTACAGTCTCATTAATTTTGTCAGTTGAATATTGGACACAATCCTAGAGAGTCACAAGCCATAGCGACCATAATTAAGGCCCTCCAGAGTTGTTATGCTTATACCCGTGATGGTGAGCCTATGGCACGTGTGCCAGGGTGGCACACATAGCCATATCAGTGGGCATGCGAGCTCAGCTCTGGCGCGCATGCACGTGCCGGCTAGCTAATTTTCAGGCCTTCTGGGCCCACAAGAAGTTGGCAAATAGGCCATTTCTGGCTTCCAGAGAGCCTCCGGGGGGGGCATTTTCCCCTCCCCAGACTCCTAGAGAGGTTCTGGAGCCAGGTAAGAGAGGAAAATGGGCCTACTGGGCCATCACGTGCCAGGAGCGGGGGGGGGGGAAGTGGGGGGCCACGTGCATGTGTGTGTGGGGGAAATTATGGGTATGGGCACATGCACACATGCCCCCACAGCCTCCCACTCCTGGTACGCAATAGCAAAAAGATTAGCCATCACTGGCTTATATCATTGCTTACTGTACAGTGTAGCCTTTATTGTCATTGTACATCATCTATACAATGAAATTGGTTAGATTTCTTTAGATTGAGGCAGTAAAGCAAGGAAAATAAATATAAGTGATCAATATTTATCTTTATAAATAAAGACTATTTGAATAAAACTACATAACTGGATTATGGAAGAGATTTCACCTAATATGTATAACAGAGGCTTGACTAGGATAATTAAGAGTTGGAAAACAGAATTAGCCTTTCCAGCTTCCTGGGGAATTCACTTCTTTTCACTATGAGAACAAGGTTCAAGACTGAGGAGAAGTCATCACAGTCTTCAGTCATTGCTGCCAAGATCTTGGCTTACATAATAAGCTGCTGGTAAATCAGCACTCCTGTTAACTGACAATGGCCCATTTCCCAGGCTTCAATCATTTCCTTGGCTATCTTTGTAGCTGCATGACCAACGATCTTAGTAGCTGTGAGATTAAATCAGTGGTGGGTTGCCCCTGGTTTGCACCAGTTCTATAGAACCGGTACTAAAAACGTCCGTAGGCTCTGCCCACGGACCCCGACATCATCAAAATGCTTCTGCGCATGTGCAGAAGCTTCTGCGCTTGCACAGAAGAACATGCGTGCGGCCCCATTGCGAACTGGTAGTAAAGGTAAGTAGAACTTATCCCTGGATTAAATGTGTGTCCTTGTTCATTGCAATGTGAGGCTACCAATGAATTCGGGTCTCCTCTTCTGACTGCTTCCTTGTGTTCTTGCAGTCTGGTGGTTAACATCCTCCCCATTTGTCCTGCATAGTCAACCTTTGTTCAAACGTGTTCAACCTTTGCTCAACATAGTCAACCTTTGCTCAACCTTTGTTCAACATAATCTTGTTCAACCTTTGCTCTCAGGACTGTTTACATTCTAGTAAGCACAGGTTATGTTCTGATTTTAGAACATAAGACAATAAAGGCAATACAAATAGTCCTACTGGATCAGGCCGAGGCACATCTTAGTCCAAAATTTTGTTTCTCACAGTGGCCAATCAGGAACTTCTGTGATGCTTGGAAGCAGCAGATGGACACAAATCTTGCTACCTGGTAAATAGAAACATCCTGTCCCAATCTGAAGGCAAGATTGAGACTTCAAAACTCATAGTGCTTGTTAGACCTCTCCTGTGTGGATTTCTATATTCTCCCATCCAAGTAAGTAGCCATCACCATGTCTTTCACTTATGCATTACACAGTTTAACAATGTGAAGGTTGAAGATATGCTTCTTTTGGTTTGATCAGCTTCAGGAGTGACCCATGGTGCAAAGAGCCATGGAGGCACAGTGGTTAGAATGCAGTATTGCAGGCTAATTCTGCTGACTGCCAGCAGTTTGATTCTCACCAGCTCGAGGGTCACTCAACCTTTCATCCTTCTGAGGTCAGCAAAATGAGGACCCAATTGTTGAGGGCAATATGCTGACTCTGTAAATCGCTTAGAGAGGGCTGTAAAGCACTGTGAAGTGATATAAAAGTCTAAGTGCTATTGCTATTGTGAGAAATGAGGAAAAACCTTCTTCCTATCCATGTTTGATCTCCTCTCCTCTCCTCTCTTCTCCTTAAAGACATTTCCTAGAACTTGAAAATGTTAATAGCAATTGTTTATTGTTAATTAGGCATTAAGCCATTTCAAATTAGAGATTATAATACAGAACATTAATATGTACTGTATGTATTTAAACATAGAATAATAGAAGCAAATTAGAAAAAATAAGACTAAAGAGTGCAAATCTTATTTTTCTATCATCCCTACAATTTACTCCCATGAGATCAAGATATGCGATCTCCACTGAACTTCTTTGTTCAAATAAAGGGCTGTTTTATAGATGTTTGAATTCTGACTGTACATGAAATATTAAAATATTAATATTGATGGAAGTTCATTAATGTGTGCTAGAAGAATCAAATGGATGTCTTAGATGACACTGATCTTAGACACCTGGTATAAACCATCATTGTGAAAAATTCATCATGACACAAATTCCAACCTTTTACCTGATGGTGACATGATGATGCATGGATCATCATTTGCATCCCTTTGTCCTCCCCTATGGATGCCAATGTCGGCTATGTTTTATTTTTATCCAACTCCTAGTGATGAAAATACAGCAGGGGAACTAGACCATCCTGCAAATGCTCTACTACAATATGTAAGTGAATTAAATAAATATTTCTTTCAAGTAGGTAACTTGCAGAGCAGGAAGAGGGTTGGCCAAAACCTTCTTTTTCACTCTGTTTGGGTTAAAATGATGGTACACTCAACTTGACTGTATCAACATTTTGCAGCCATAAATTTTAACAGGATATACTTTCAAAATAGACTTTATATAGGAATGCAAATTGCAGCAGGATTATGAAGGAAACACAATGAGTTATACCATTATGGCCCTCATCCATCCTACAATTTGGCATGCTGAAACCATTGATTTTAGTGGGACGGTATGTGCTTAATTCATACTCCACCTTTCATCCAAGAAGTTCTTGGTAATATATTGTCCATTTTTTTTTGTCTAATAACCTCGGAAAAGAGGTTAGCCTCACAGAAGGTGGCTACTGCAGGGGTATCAAATGAGCTTCATGGTTAAATTGTGTATTTCAACCTGACTTTAGCCCGTCTTGGTCTAATTGCTCTGAAGATTTAAAATTAATAGTGTTCCACTTAAATGCAGCCTTTAAAAAGGCAGTAGAGTCAACACAAAATCAAATAAATCAAATCTCTGAAGCAAAGCAATGCATATATTAGAATGAAAATTGCTGTGTGTGATGAAGTAATTATTTCCTTTATATTTGATTATAACATGCATGATCTGTGTGGGAGGTTCAATACTTGTGGTGCTTTAAACTGCTTTGTTCTTTTTAAGTGGTTGAATTCTATAAGTGATATGATATCTGGTTGAAGTTTTTCAAAAAAAACCAACCAGCTTTTGAAATAAATGTTTTTTTGGCTTTCTAGCACAGTTGGCTTACAATGTAGAGAATTGTAGTTAAGCTAAATTGTTATTTTTGAAGAGAAGCCTGACCACATCTATTTTGAGGGCTCTATAGGATGCCCTCCTGAACTAGAGAAAACACAAGCCAATTAAGAACAACTAGAGTATTCTGAAAAAAATGACAGGCAAATCTATGCCTTAGAATTTTTGTCCGAAGTTTGAATCTGATCTTTATGTAAAAAAAATCCACATATAACGAAAACTCAGTTTTCCACAATAAGAAGCATTGATTGTAACTGATCACCAGGCCACATAGATAGGCTGGAGGAAAATAAGAATAATCCCCAGGCATTCCTGAAAAGTTGGCCTTCTTCAACTTTTTTTTTTTTCAAACTTCTCACTCATGTCTATATCCCTGGGACCTCTTGATAGTCTCCCATCTGAACATTAGCCTGCAAAACTTTCTGAGTTAGTCGGGGCTGCTCCCAGCTGTGACCACAGCTGACAAAAGCAACATTTGGCTTAAAAAAAAAATAAAGTAAAGCTAGCTTTAGGCTTTTCCTTTAAAGAACTCTATGAAAACAGGCATTTGGGAGATTCATGGAGAAAAAGAGGATTTGCCGCCTTTCTCAGGGCAGTCGGGCTAAATGCAATTGATGATGAGCTATTGGGACAAAGCGAAAGTCTGTCTTCTCCTGTTTTCCCCATGTTTGTGATTTACAAAGAAGGAGCAAAAAAAAAAAAATCCAGATTGCTGAAACTCAGCTGCTGTTAGAGGCCAAGGATCAGGTCTCTTGCTCAAGATCACTTGAGGCTTTGACTTAATTGTCCCTTTAGAGCTCTTTTTCTTGCAACACACGGGTGTTCTCTCCGCTCAGAGTTCCTTCTTCATTGCTATTAGCCTTTCCTTTTTGCATTTTGATTAGAGGGCGAGAGTCTTTTTATGCTATTGCAAAGATTTGTTTTTTCCTCTTTCCATTGAAGTCAACCGCCTACTAACCAGGAGTATGCAGTAAATCCTGCAATAATATTTTAAACCATTAGCTTTTCTTCTTGTTTGAAAAGTCCTGAACCATCTTATTGTTTCAAACATTAAATTACATTTTGAAGGGGATTCTTTCCATGTATAGAGCCTAGAATGATGGTCTCATTACTCACCTTTGAAACAGCGGGGAGTGAGGGGTGTGTGAGAGTTGTGTCATAGCCTCTAAATATTCCAGGTGAGTTGCCAATTTGGATGCGTAACCATACAGAATCTGCTGCATGATAATCTAAAGCAGTATTTTTCAAACTTGGCAACTTTAAAATGTGTGGACTTCAGTTCCTAAAATTTCCCTATCCAGCATAGGGAATTCTGGGTGTTGAAATTTACACATCTTGAATTTGTTAAGTTTGAAAAACACCGGTCTAAAGCACAAGGAAACAATCTAAATTTATCATTTTAAGCAGTTTAACTTTACCAACGATTGCAGACCCACAATAATGAGATAAAATATTTTTTTCTAATATTTTTCTCTCTTGTCATTCCGGTGATCCAGTATCTTAGGATGAGGCATTAAGGCTAGAAGCGGGGACTGGCTCTGAACACTGGCCAACTTTGAAATGCTATCCCAGGACTTCTCATTATGTCTCCACATTCCATATCTCCTTCTCTAGAAACAGCTTTCTGTTAACATTTCTATCCTTTCCTCCCTCCCCCTCCAATTAGATTATCTTTGTTGGCCACTTCTACCATCCAAGACCCCCAGTAATGCACAGGAATCTATGCCTTCTGTACCTGCTGAGCCCTACTTCCACTAGAGCTCAGCTGATCCAGGGGATGGTCCTCTTCACCCCCATTTCCTGACTCTCCATAAACTGAGGGTGTCTCTCCTGTACTACCTCCCTGCTTCTATTTTCTTCTCTTCTCAACCATACACTGTGAGACAGCAAGTCTTACATCCAGGTCCTGTGGTCTTTCAGACAATAGTTACTGAAGCATTAGAAGGACTGCAAGATTTCTCATTATCCTAGCCTAGTACTCCTTAGTGATACAACTCAGACATCTACTACTTGATCAGACAAAAAAGTGTGGGTTAGATAGCAGCTGCCAAAAAAGCCAAGGCAGTCCTAGGCTGCATTAACAGAGGGATAGAATTAAGATCATGTGAAGTATTAATGCCACTTTGTAATACTTTGGTAAGACCTCACTTGGAATATTACATCCAGTTTTGGTTGCCATGATATAAAAAGATCTTGAGACTCTAGAGAGAGTGCAGTGAAGAGCAACAAAGATGATTAGGGGACTGAGGCTAAAACATACAAAGAACGGCTGCAGGAATTAGGTATGTCTAGTTTAATGAAAAGAAGGACTGGGGGTGACATGATAGCAGTGTTCCAGTGTTTTTAAGGAGCTACTAGAAAGAAGAGGGGGTCAACCTATTCTCCAAAACACCTGAAGACAGGACAAGAAACAATGGATGGAAACTAATCAAGAAGAGAAGCAACCTAGAACTAAGGAGAAATTTCCTGACAGTTAGAACAATTAATCAGTGGAATGACTTGCCTCCAGAAGCTGTGGGTGTTCCAACACTAAAGATTTTAAAGAAGACATTGGACAACCATTTGTCTGAAATGGTATGGCGTTTCCTGCTTGAGCAAGGGGTTGGACTAGAAGATATCCAAGGTTCCTTCCAACCCTCTTATTCTGTTACCCATTTTTAATGGCAACCCTGATAGCATCTTTTAGTGTGATGTAGTCATTGCTGTTCCGTAAGGGAAACAGAGTGCACCTAGCTATGAGCAAGTTGTCTTATCACATTCCATCCACTTACAAATCACACCCAATTACACTTGGAATTCTTTTTTTCATCTTTACCTTTAAGGGGCAGGGTGGAGGTGAAGTTCGTCTTCTTCTGTCCACTTCTTCCTGCTTCATTCACATATGACAAATATTCTAAATCAGGGGTGTCCAACTTTGGCAACTTTAAGACTTGTGCTCTTCAAATCCCATAATTCCCCAACCAACCCAAGTGAGAGTTGAAGTTAAAAAGAGTTGGACATCCCTGTTCGAAATGAACCTTCATCCCCATATCTTCTAATGTATTTTTCCTTCTTGCTATCCACTCTGATTTCTCCTTCTCTTCCATGTTTTGAACCCTTCAGCTCTTTCTACATCTCCATCCGACCTCTATTATCCACTGTCACCCACTCCATCTACTGCTCTTCTGTTCTGCATCAGGAGAGAAACACCCTCACAAACTCATCAGCCTGTCGCCGCACCCTACCACCACCACTTCAGTAAAAAAACTGACCTTTCATCAGAGACTGTTCCATGTTAATCAATATTACTTAATGCTTCAGCGAAAATAATTGTCACAATGGCAAAAACAAACAACAAACCAGCAGCACAAAATCCCATACAGTTCTGCCATATTTTGAAAGACTGTAGTTAATTTTGTGCAGCTGCTATCATTCTTACTTTTAAAGCCACCTAGGTCGCAGTGGGAAAGAGAACTAGACAGTGCCAACTGTAGCATCTTCTGCCAACACCATTAATAAAAAACTCAAAGGCATCGCCAAAAAAACAGTTAAGCATCCTGAGAATAAAATGATTTTTTTTTAAAAAAAGTAGCCTTCTTCTCAAGGAAACAAAACTTTTTTTTTTTTTTACAATTTACTGAAACTTTAATGGATCTGACAAAAAAGTCCATTTTATTCTTACATCTTCTCAATTGTTTCTTCCTTGTATTTTCCTTTCTCTTTTCCAACCTGGTGAGACTTTGCTTTGCTTTCCAAGATCTTTTTTCGATCCTTGTCCAGTTTTAATCTTGTGATCACCACCTTATTAGGGTCAATGCCCACATGTACAGTTGTGCCATTAGCTTTATCACGCTGTACATGCTCAATGTAAATAACATACTTCTTTCTATATACCTGGACTACCTTGCCAATCTGCTGTCCTTTATAATGGCCCCGAACAACTTGAACTTCATCATCCTTTCGGATGGGCATAGAGTGAACATTGTACTTCTGCCTCAATTCTTTGGACGGGGTGAAGACATGATCTTCCTCCAAATGTGAGATGGAGCATTGAAGTGCCATTTGCGATTCTTGTTGCGATCTGAAGTCACAAATGGATTGAACTTCATTTTGACTCAGCTCGATCGGTTATGGCTGCCCGGAAAGCTAGGAATCAAAACTTTTAAGGGGGGCTTAAATGAAACAAATAACAATTACCTTGGAAACAAATATATATTTCTGGTACCTGAGTTACACAATATTTTAAGAAGACCTCATGCTATTCAGGAAGAGACAGAGAGAGAATCACTGTCACAATGAAAAAGTTTCTGTTAATGTCTAGGTCCAGAAGAACTGAATAAGGCGAAAGAAAACAGTTTGTGTTTCTTCAACAGGATAGAAAGGAACTCCTTCTTTTTTTAAAAAAAATCATACTTAAAATATCCACTCACCACACTAAGTACATTATAATAGAATTTTATATGTATGTATTTTCATTAGCTGCTACTGTTTACTGGAGTTAAAAGTGGATCAGCTCTTATTATGCAAATACCCCAAATAAAATCATATATGAACACTCTCTCTCATCATCTGGCAAACCCATGTTTTTTTAAGTATCATGTTCCTGGTAATCCATGGAAGATTCATGGAATTAAATATCATTCTGTTTCCATCATAGTTTAGAAAATTGTGAGTGCTTGGCATGAGAGGCATCCTCTTCGGATTCTCCAATCTTCTTAGCAAGTGGAAGAAAACATCTGGCTAGAGATTTCAAATATTAAAAACATTGCTTTGGAAGTAAACTGTAATCAGGTATGTACATTTCTGGGCATGTAAATATCTATTTTGTCCTTTGTCATCACAGTCTGTTAAACTTTTGTAGCTTCACAGAGCTCCTCAAGGACAGCTGGGTTTTTCTTGCATTTGAGACGCAGATAGGAATGGCTAAGGGAAAAATTGTGTGCTTGCTTTAAGCCTTGCAGAGGCTGCAGAGGCTACTCACCCATTTTGTAGAGCTGGATGTGTTAATGGGTGAACTGGGAGTTGCAAACTATTACAGAATTTCAGGGTTTGGCAAGAGTTGAAGAAAGTAGGATCTTTACTGAATTATATTCCTTAAAACCAATATTGCCAGGTCTCTGGGTTTTTTTTTCATATTTTGAAGTGAATCTTTTATATGCCTTGCAAAGAATGGTATGGCCTTTGAACTGATGACATTTGCGTCCCTGGGATTTAACAGATATGTTAGTAGTGATAAAATGCAAAATGTTTGCCATTTTAGCGCCTAGGATTTTTTTTTTCTGTTTTCAAAAATCATATTCCTGTGCGGTTTTAAAATTCTATTAATATTTCTTTGCAGAAAACAGTATGATTTGAAGTACTTGCTCAAGTAAACACATGCATTTTATATATACACACATTTCATGTACATCAATAGGAACATTTGCTAACATCCTTAGATATTAAAACTATTGCAAAACTATTTGCAAATTATTCCTTGATCTCTTGATGGATTATTCAAGTTAGATAAATTAGTAGCTATCCACCAGTTTAAACCAGTGAAAGGGTGGATATTGATAAAGAACATATTTCTGCGTGTCTGTTTATGACAGTTCATAATTCTTTATCTTCATTAATGATTATGACAACCAACTGTTAGCATGTCATTCTAGATTAATGAATTTGTCATACCCAAAGTTCTTAGATGTAATATTCTAACTCTTTTAGCATGTTTGTGTTTGGCGGTGGAAAGCTAAGGCAGAATCGGCAGAGCAGAGAAGTTGAAGAGCAGAAGGGAAGAAGAACAGCGTATAGAAAATACCGTTCAATTATTAAAGTAGAAACTCTAAGAGAAAATATTATTCACTGTTTTAAATGAGTCAAACTAATTTGCACTTTCCATTTAACATATAGCTTAGAATATTTATCCTTGAATTGGATTGTTCTTCAAAGATTTCACGTGTAGCGTATGGGAAAACTGTGTGAAAATGACATCAAGTTAGTGAAGTTTTGGTTTTTCTATTCATGAGGTGCTAACAGCCACTTTTTTAAATTAAAAAAAGCCCATGAAAGAAAGGCTTCATTGGTTGAATGTCTCTTCTGCCTCCCTCCTAAAGCCGAAGTGCAAACATGTTTCAGAATTATGCTTAGCACCCACTCTTTCTGTCTTCAGGAGTGTTGTCACTTTTTCACAAACCAGACCTTGGAAGTTAAATTAGTCATTGTCTTCTGCTTTGCTGACTTTTTGTCTGCTAGCACCTTGTGAGTAGAAAAACCAACACTTTGCAATAATACTTAAAAGAATAAATAATGAGTAAGAAACAGACTTAAGAATGAATTAATGGGAAGTTGACTTAGAACTAATTTGTCCATTGCTAATTACGAAGATATATTTGCAGCTATAAAGTCACTGGGTGGGTTTTTTGTTTTGTTTTGTTTTTGCTTTTCTGTAAAGTTGCAAGTAGCATGCATCTGGTGAAATACTCCAGTCTCAATCTGGAGCCCAATATTCTTATCCTTTAATTATTCCACTACAGTTTGAAAAGGATAGTTAAAAGGGGGAACATGATAATAATAATAAAACAAAGCCTTAATTCTAGAATTCTGCCAGGTAGATAGGTAGGTCAAATCTCCCTTCCTTTTATTAATGAAAATATTTTGGTATAAAGTTAAATTTGAATTAAAATGGTGTTGTGAATTAAGCAAGATAAAGATAAAGCAAGATATATTTTAAATCTATAATTAAACAGATACATATGCATGTGTGTGTGCGTGTGTGGGTGGGTGTTTGCATGAATGCCCATCATATATATCCATTCACAATTGGCTAATTCTGCTTTTACAAGCCTTTTACTGTAGTGTTTTTGAGAACGCTCCTTTTTTAAAAAAAAATTTTTTTTTTGGTTATTAACGCCTTAAACTCAAAAGTTGAGTATCGTAGAGTTGAGAAACTGTCTTACAATAAGCAATCTAAATTGAGAGAGATTGACTTCACCAAATAAAAATAAAAGGAGGCAGTGGGCATAAAGATTAAACTGGGAATCTTTGGTTTTGGATTGGTAATTAAGAACAACAAGGGATGTGGAAAGAGCGAACTGAAGTGTGCAACAAGGAACTGGAGAGACCTGGACATCAGAAATGCTATTTGCAGCACTAAAAATTTTACCTGAGCCACTTGAATGAATTATTGCACTTATGGCAGGGTGCATAATATTTTATGGACATGGTCTGCTTACATAAAAAGTCTTCTTCATTTTTTTAAAGTAGCATACTGTTCTAAATGTGTTTTTTAACATAGTAACCTAGCATTGTACAGCAATTTTGGAATAGTCTTATTTTGCATCTATTTCAGTAAACAAACGACTATAATACTAATCTCATCTTTAGCACAAAAAACTCTTAGGACCGATATTTGAGACATTTTATGCAAGAATTCTTCGAATCTGTGTAAATACCACCAGCAATAGGTCTCTGTTATATTTTCATTGAGGCTTTCATAAAGCAGGTAAAAAAAATAGTTACTGTGTGCTTTTATTAGTTTATTTTGAATTTTCTCCTGTCCCAGGAAACTCATTCATAAACCAAAAGAGCTGAGGTATTGTTTATTACATATAGCCTTAAGAATGGCTTTTTTTCTCATCTGTTTCCTTTTTAAATAAAGAGAAAACTCTCATTCAAAAGTAGCGAGTTGCAATATTAAAATGTGCCATGTCTTGGATTCCATTACATAGCAAGCATTTGTGCATGTGCTACATTACTCTTTTCTCTCAACATGAAAATGGAATTAAACTGACTTCCAGTTAGTCGGAAATGCTGGTTTCGATAATGGAATAATGCATTGATTGCTATGGCAAGCTTTCACTCATTTATTAATTCTGAATGACTAACTGATGAACTAAAATCCCTTTAACAACTAAGGTATAAGTATATACCAAGAGCCTGAAGATGACAGGGTTGTGAGCCTGTCGAAACGTTGCTAGAAAGAAAAACTTTTAAGGTACTGGTAGGATTTTAGCTAAGGTTTTAAAGGACCTTGCAGAGTGCTCTGTAAGGATTTTTGCAAGATTTTAAGCTAGGAATTTAACCAGAATTTTAAACATTTTAACTAACTTATTTAACATGATGCGGGAAAACACCCGAGATTTTAATTTTTTGCACACACACACACACACACACACACACACACACACACACACACACACACACACACACACACACACACACACACACACATATATATATATATATATATATATATATATATATATATATATATATATATATATATATATATATATCTGTACACACACACACACACACACACACGCACACTCACATATATATATATATATATATACCGTTTTTAGTATAGGATTTTTCTCCCAAATGTTGCATAAATATGCAGAACAAAGCTGATTTAATCCATTTACTTGATTAATTAACAAACCAGGCAATTCTACATAGATCAATACAAAATTAACTCCACTGAATTCAGTTGGGCCTATTTCAACGTAATTGTGACTTGGGTTGAATTTGATTTTTGATTGGATGACAGTAAAAGATCACATCTATTGACCTAAATAATCATTAAAATGATGTCTTTCTGACCAGATTAATACATATTTCATATGATATGTTTGTTAACAGATTAAAAATAGTGACATTTAGTTTACTGAAATGACATAATTCAATAAAATAATGTCATTCTCAACTATTAAATTCCAACTTAAAATCTTCAAATTTCCCAAATAAGTGGGAAACGTATATTAAACATATTTTTGACAGGTTTTAATTAATCCTGGAGCTACCATTAAAAAGGCTTCACGTGTTGGAACTGATTTATTTTTGTATTGAAGGTGTTTGAAAAAAAGGTTTACCTCAATCGATAGGTATGTTCAGAAAATGATCTGCTGCAATGGGTAATATTTTAAAGCCCTTCTCCAAACCTTATCATTTGTTGTGAAATACTTTCCTATTATTTATCCATTAACATGTATATTCACCAGGGCAAAAGAAATGTCAGATATTTGTGACTGAGCGTGATTAGATTTATCTTACTCCTGAATAAAACAAATTAAAAAAGCAAGAATAAAAATCCCAGCATCTAACTGAGGCCATTTGAGTATGTAGTATTTCATAAAATCTGAAAGAGATTTAGGCTGATGCAAACTGTTCCTATAGCTGAGTTGTGTCTCCAGTAGACACAAATTCCTTTTTTGCAGAAATGCAGCAACATTAGTTTGAACAATGTTCGCTCATTGGAAAACCGACCCAGCAACAGCAGCAGGATCATCTTCCCCATCGCTCCATCTCTGGTGTGCTCCCAGCTCAAAGCAGTTGCAATCATGGGAAAGAGTCACTGCAATGGAATCTGTAGTTTTCAGATTTCCATCTGAGATGCAATTTAATCATTAGAGAAAGTTTCTGCAAAGCCAGCCCAGCTTGTCTTCCTTGAAGGAAGTCGACCCCAATTTTGTAAGCGGGTGTTTGTGAAGTCAAAGGTGCATTCTTAAACAGACTCAAAAGCTGGCTAGCAAGAGAATGCCCAATCTGGCGCACACAGCAGAAATTATCCACGATTAAAGAGTTTCTGATTAATATGACTTATGTGCCAAAACTGCACATGCGGCGTATGATCTCAATTAGACTGAAACCTTATTCTTCAAGGCTGAGATCCAGATTCATTCTGTAATTTCTCCTTTGTTTAACTTGGACCTTTCTTGACAGGGTTTTTAAAAAAGTAAAAAATTAAATAGCCCTGCTCTCAACCCCCCCCTCATTATAAATTAAATTTCTCCCTCAGTGTCTTTCTT